CAGTGTACAAAAAAATGGAGGAAAAAAGTATCATTTCTTTACAGAAATAAATTAATGTATCTACAAATGTCAGCACTTAATGTTGCTTAATTCACGACCTGAAGTGAGTCATTATATAAATGATACATTTGTAAAGGAACCCAATGCTGAAATTGACATTAATTAAATCATCTAAACTAGGTAGAGCTAATGTTAATAATTGCATAACATTTTGACTATAAACACTTGAGCACAAAGCTTATGCGACTTGTAGGAAATGTTCAATGCACATCCTGTCATAAAGAATAACTCAATCCAGGTTTGATTTGTCTGTAGTGTACATTTCATTGATTTTTTTTTTTTTTTTTTGCCTGATTAGAAAAACGTTGAAAAGGCACTTTGTGTTTTTACTAATTAAAAGTGCAGTTAGCGTTTGATTGAATTTGATTGAATGACATAATTTTTTAGATCTCAAATGGATTTGTTTGGGGGAAAAATAAAGAAACAGCCCTTTAGTGTAGCTTCTCAAAGTTTATTTAACTTGCTATATTTAGTGTATAAATACTCAATGCTATCTATGCAACATTGCAACTGAAAGAAGTACTCACATTCAGACATGTACATAGGACTATCAACCGTGGACTGTGGATAATTTTATCTTTGAAATGGAGTAATTCAAATAAGAACAGCGTTTAACTTTTTTTTTTTAAATCTGAAAAGATCTGCCCTTCCATTAAGCATTTACTATCTCAGCTTAAAGCATGGCATGAGAAACAAATCCACCCTAGTTATGTGTTGCTCCAGTGTTCTGTGAGACCCACTTATATTTTCTATTGTTTATTTGTGTGCAAATTTCTATTGTTTTTCTTTAGTTTGTTCCTTACCAAGTGGACGATACCTTGATTGGGTTGACATCATGTGATAGACTAATTAAACTCTTTTATGTAAAAAACCACCAAAAAAATCTAAACCAAACTTTGAGTCAGTGTGCATCCTATCCGCATTGCTGCAGTTGCTTCAGTTTGAGCAAGTGGTATGCAGCTGTGCTCTTCACAATTAACCTCCCGTTTCTGTCTGCTCTAGCATCGTCAATAATTTAAGTCGGTTCACTTCAGTGTAGAGCAACTGCAATGCTGGAGTCATCTCAGGGCACTCGACACTGTCAGGAAACAAGATATTTTTAATTAAATTGTGTTAAGTAACCAAACTGAATCTGGATCCAGATCGGACGGATTCAATTTACTCAATGTTATATTGAAATGTTTATTTAAAGTGTAATCTGAACCTTTTTCTGTAACAACTTGTTCAACATGTCGAACTCTGGATTTGTGGTCTGACTTCATTAAATGACCCAGTAAGTTTAACATGTTCAAGACCTATATTTTATTTCAGCTATGTCATCAGTTATATGAAGATGAAGCTCAAAATATATTCAAGAGCTATAGTTTGTGGATTCAATGCAGTCTTTTAACATTTAGGTTTCCTATGCTGTCAGCTTACAAAACAGGGAAAAAATGGGCAAAAGATCTTAAAAGCATTACACTAGGTCCGAATATGATGAAATTAGCAAACAGATGACAAACAACTCCCTGACATCCATGTGCTTGGAAAATACATAATACTTAACTTCAACAATAGACTGGTAAAAATTATATCCATGAAAGACTTTGAATGTCAAATCATAAGTGTCTCTTCATCAGTCTCCCACTGTTGAATTGTGTTTGTCAGTGGGTGCGGCTGCAACACAAGTGCATAAATATAACAAGAACAGCATGTCAAAACCAATACTGACCAAAAGGAACAGAAAGATGTGTTTGAGTTACAAAAATACGCTTTGATCACTGACACGTCAGAGAGAATGTTCTGTGGACAACAAAGCAAAAGTTGAACTTTATGAAAGGAGTTGAAGAACAAACATTTTACTGACCATCAAAATGATGGTAGTAGCGTAATGGTATACTACTGGTGGTTCGATGGCAGCTGTTGCCAACAATGGAGGCATGAACAGTTGTTAGGTTTAGTTTTTCACATTGGGCAAAGTTATTGTATCCCCCCTCATTTAATAACTGAAATTAAAATTTAAGCTCTGCTTTTTATATTTGGTCACATGACTTGTGTATGAACAAATAGTTTGTTCTGGAACAATCATGTGTTTCCATGAAACTAAAACAGAAAATATCTGGTGGTGTGGGAATAGCTTTTTGCTTTTTTTCATGACCTTGTACATGGGCAGGAGAAGGCACACTGTGGGAACAGGAAATCGCAAACACCAGGCATCCCGCCACCAATAAAATCAAGCATGATTATTTAGCAGCCGCTTTTGCTGCACTGCAGCCATGCCTATCCTCACCGGGTGAGAAATGACCGGGGCTGAATCAAGTCATTTATTCCAGTGAGTTGACCATGAGTCTCTGCTCATAAATAACGATCTTACGAGCCTTCCTTCTAGCGATGAATCTTCCTCTCGCAGCTTTGCAAAACCAGCTGACTGTTTCACTGGCGAGTTGACTGAAAAACATTACTGCTGTATCAGTCTGTATCAGCTTTTTTTTTTTTAATCCGTTTATTTGTACTGAAATGTTTGCATATTAGTCACTGGACTGTTGCCTAACCACTGCAATAAAAATGAATCATGTGGGAAACTTTTTTACGCTGAGTCAAATCATTTGCTGGCTGCTGTTACACAATTAGATATTAGATAGAAAACTGTGACCTGGTGTGACCTCCTATATCTTTTTTTTTTCCCACTTTCCAAAATTTTACTGTTGGATTAAATTGTTAACATAATCTCCAAAATGTAATATATATGTTTACAAAAAGTCAAATTGAAGAACAAAATTGCAGAAGTAATCAGTTGCATGTGTCATTTAACTGTGTTTAGCATCATTCCATATAAAATGATTTACGGCTTCATAATGATATCACAAGGGTTTTCCTGTAATTACGGATGATTCTGTGTCTCAGAAGGCTCTCTCTCCCCCCCATCGCTGACTCACCCACTTCTCCTCAAACATCTTCGAGTCAGCTGTGGAGGTCCTGCTGGAGAGACGCCCTGTGTCTCCTGATCCCTCCATGTGTCGGAGCACAGTTCAGTATTCACCTCCACCACATACTAATCCTTTCATTTGCTTCGGCTTCAGGCGGTCGGGTTAAAGAGCCGACTGTGTGGGGAGTCAGGAGGGACGGAGACTGATACAGAGATGCATTTACAGACGTGTACAGTAACTCAAATACTGAAGCACCTTACTAACAAAAAAAATGTTTATGCATTCATACAGAAGATCCACATTTGCACTGCTAAATATACATATCACCATTACACACATTTTATTTTATTTTTATGTAGTCATCCTAAAAGACTTTACATCCTCTTTAAATTCTTGGGTTTTATTTATCGGGACGGGATAAAAATCATGTGGTCTTTACTAAATTTCCAATAATATTTTTCATTTAGCTTCAAGTATGTCAAAATGAACAGATTCCACACTGTTTTTAACTGATTAAACAAGAGGAGGGTCATTGCTGCTGTGCAAAAACCTTCATAAGGGATGAAAAGCTATTTCCAAGCAATTTGAGGTTCAAAAACGGAGATTTTTCACAAGCTTAAAGCATTTCAGATGGTTGTCAAACTTCCAAGAAGTAGATTTCCAGGAAAAGGTCATCCCAAAATGCCACAGAGAAAAAAATAATAAAGACAAACCAAAGCTAAATCGTTGACTCTAAAGGTGCTAGTTGTCAACTTATATGTGTGAAATTTACAACACTACGATTGAAAAGAGCAAATACATTTGAGAGGTTTTTTTTCAGAAGGGCTATAACAAGACAATCCCAAAGACATGCAGGTGTATCGATCTGCTGCAACTGTCAAATGAAGGAATACAGTTCTTCCTTGATGCATAATTTCAGCTCCAATTATGCATTAGCAGATGTTCATGCTACTTACTGATGGGCATGCAGACCATCCGATTGGCTTTTAATCTGTAACACTGATTACACAAAACAGATGGTTGCTCCCCTCATTAACTTTTTTTTCTTCTCCCACATGATAATTTTAGTTAAGCAAAAAAATATTCTTGACTCCTTTTTTTATTACTCTGTGTGCTCTCATTAACTAAGATGGTAGTGGCAGAAACTTTTATAAGATCTGATTCTGACAGAGGCATCAACATTTTCTTAAAATTATTTAAAATCAAGTCTTGATTCGATTGATATGGTTTTTGGGAAATGCATGACCAAATTATATTTCAGTCAACCTGATTTTGCAGGACTTATTCACGCAAACGTCTCCTCTAAGAAAGATCAGCTATAACATTAAACTATTAGTGATTTTAGTTTCCAATTATTCATCAGACCTTATTAAAGATGTTTTTTGTCGTTTCTTTATTACAGCTTCTCAAATGCCTGACTTCAGATTTACCAACAAGTTTAGTCCCACTGATTTTAGTTATAATGACATATTTTTGATATACCATAGAACTTGCACAACAAGCTTTGAACAAGAATATACATTAAAGCCTGTACTTTCAAAATAAAGGGTCTTCGGTGGGCTTTGGCAAATCTACTTACTCGTTGATTTGAACACGTGGAGCCACTATGGAAATGTTCATGAACAGATAGGTGAGGGGCAGCACTGGTCTACCGCAGAGAAAACCTTGAGTCATTCCACTGCTTTCTGTGGCATCTCATTAAAAGAACAATAAACAATAGAAACCACATAAAGAAACATTTTTTGCTGTGTTTCAGAAACCGTAACTAAAACTAAGCTGTAATATGCCCTGACATTCAGAACTGGCCTGTGGCTGTATGTACATATACAGCACTCTGTTGCTCTACACCTCACAGCAAGGCACATCTCTTGACAATATTGGTTTTCAAATATGTCAAATGTTATGCCCTGAAGAATGCATAATTGGCACTTTCCGCAGCCCTAAAAGCAGTGCATCAAAAAGGCCCAGGAGGATTTTGATTTGTAACACTTTGAATGTAATATGACTGTTTATGTCTCTTGTGTCCCCTGTCAGGAAACCAAGATGAAAAACCCACCACTGACCGCAGGAAGGATTTACGCTCCCATTAAAACCTTCTCTTCATGCATCAGCCAGCTTTTCCTCTGCTCACGCGGCTGACTGCTGTCGTTCCCAGATACAGCCACACAGACTGGAAGACGACAGCGTGGCCGGAGTGTGAGAGTCGGGAGTAAATTCAAACAGATGAGTCACTTATGAGAGACGAATGACCTAACGATGTCTGGAATGGAGTCATCCAGCAGACCATGAAGCAAAGTGGACCAGCAGAAAGGGAGAGCGTTCTTTTCTGTACAAGTATTGACTCAATCATTTGTGTTTCCAATGACGAAATAATTCACAGGAACTGGGAGCTGAGAGGCAGTGACCTAATTCAGGTCACTAGTCTGATAAGTCGCCCGCCTCCTTATTAAGTGATGGAACGTCATCAGAAATGGATTGTTTTGATTGAGGCTGGAGTGTGTGAGGTTACATGATATTATTGAGAGTGTGAGCTTTGATACAGCAGGCAGTTATGTTGAGGCGCGGACTGCTAACTTGGGTGTCCCGTGTGGGGGGCCTGCTGGTGCTCCTCTGCTGCTCCCTCTCACTCCTCTATCTGATGACCTGCAGCCCTCCACATTCTAACAACCCTCCGCTGAGTCACGTTTTACCCCATGCAGGGTCCAACCACCCCAGCCTAGGAGGTACAGGGCCCGTTGGTGGGGCAGGACCCAGTGGGACAAGAGGAGGAGGCGATGCTTCCCAAAGCCGGGGTCCGCCTGCAGCTCACTCTTACCAGATGCTCCTCCAGGAGCGTGAGGAGCAGCACCGCCTCTACATCTCCTCCTTAAAGAAACAGATTGCTCAGCTGAAAGAGGACTTGCAGGAGCGCAGTCTGCAGCTGAAAAGAGTGCAGGAGAGCCTGAAAACGGCTGCAAACGGACCCGCCGAGGGGCAGAACGGGGCCGCTGAATTACAAGGGGCTGGCTTCGGAGAGGTTCAGGGGGCAAAGAGCCAGCAGTCTGACCTGCAAGAGTTCCTCCGAACTCAGCTATCAAAAGCCGAGATAAGCTCTGGCACCAGGTTGGCCAACGAGTACGCCATGGTGCCTTTTGAGAGTTTCACCCTGCAGAAGATGTACCAACTGGAAATGGGGCTCACGCGCCACCCAGAGGAGAAACCAGTGAGGAAGGACAAGAGAGATGAGCTGGGAGAGGTCCTGGAGGCGGCTCTGCACAGCCTCAACACACCATCATCGCATCAGGATAACAAGGTGCCAGCAGAAAAGACACAAACTGGGAAAGTCTACACACCATCTGACTTCATAGAAGGTAAAACACAGCTGCACTTTGCCTGATATAGTCGATGTTTATATTCCAAAAGAAATCCACCAGCAGCTTTTTTCACATTTTGTCTGTTTGTGACCAGAAACGTTAATTTAAAACCCAACAACCCAAAGCTTATTGGGATGTTATGTTATGTATTATTTTTCAAATAATAATCTGGAAGGTTTGATTTGCATTATAATTTAGCTTGATTGAGTCAATACCTATTGGATAAAAGTAAAGTCACATTTTGCTGCAAATGCAGTGACATGTTTTTTTAAGTTTTTTCTCATTGCACACTAAAAATGTTGCCTTTATTTAATCAAAAAATAGCTTTAACCCATTTGTGTATGTCATTGTTGTACTATTGCCACATATTCTCAGTGAACTGGACTATTCTTATGTCTTTATCCTGCAAGTGAATGTCTGCCCCAGTTTTTCGAGTCAACACATTTTCTATCCATCTTCTTAAGGCCTCTTACAAACATCCCTGCCGACGGCATACAGTACAAATGCATGCCGCACTTGATTTTCCACTGACTTTGCACTAATCCAACAAATAAAAACCAAATATAATGCAGTGAAATTTGTAGTTCTGCAATGACTAAACAGGAACATTTCAAAGGATAAAATAAATTCTGTAGGTTCTGTAAACACAACTCGCATAGTGCAAGTAAAGAATAGAATTTCACTTTGTTTTAAACGTAATGTTTTGCCGTTAATCAAAGCCTATCATTACCTAAGCAATTAGGTTAATAAGTGCTACAGGCAGCAGCTGCTGGCTCAGTATGACCTACAAAGCATAGTCATTTGATTTTTATCAGCAGCTCTTATTCTCGAAATCCAAACTCCACATTTAACAAGCATTAAGTTGGGTATAGATTTTAACAAGCATACTATAGCTTCATCGTATCATATCCTACTATGGTCAGAAAGTCAACAGACAACACTGTCTCTATGAAGGGGTTTGTGATGTACAATTATAAGAGCTTTGATATGGAAGAGTCAACCTGGGAAAAGTAAAATGAGCTTCAACAACTGATTTGTGATGTTGCTGAGTTCAGTATCAGCGGACCAATGTCCCACAAACTTCAGATTTTATACTCTGCTGTTTCTGTACTGAACCAGTCCCTAAAGTAAAAGGCTGGTAGGAAAAAAATAAAATTCATAGCAGCTACTGTGTAGGAAATGTCTCCATTGGTTGCACCTTGTGAGGTGCAACAAAAATGATTGATTTTAACGCTGTTTTTATCCCTACTGTTCTGTTTTTGTGCTCGAAAATGATTAATAGCTTCATATGACATTTCAGCTCAAAAGACACATTACTTGACATTTTACTCACTGTAGCTTTAAATTGTTCCATTTCAGGGCTCTGGAAGCGGTATGAAAATAATTTTACTTAGCAACGTTAATGTTGCTGCAATTAGGACACAATGAATCCTGCAGGCTTTGATTAACACAGCTGTACGGAAAGCTTTAACTTTTAACTTGATGCCTTCAGATGTGCTTGGACATTGAGCTGACGGCATGTCGGATTACGACAGAAAGATGAATCACCAAATGGATGCATGGTTCCTTTGGTAGAAGGATACACAGTCTCAGAAAATGCAAGGTTTCTTTGCTTATATAAGAAGGACACTAAGCTGAACAGCCGTTTAGTCGATGTGAACATCCACATTATAATTTCTCTTTTTATAAATTTCTGAAGTACTTGTAGGTGAAATTGTTAGATCAACCTAGGCACACAGAGTATTTGACCCAATTTGACTCTTTGGGGTGTCGTCAGGATTGTGCTGCACCGCACCAGTCAGCAGAAATATGTGCATTAATGGCAGCACACGTCTGAGAGCTTTGTTGCAGCACTCACAGCTGCTTTCTTTACTGTCACTGCAGGGCTTACCATAATAGACAAGCAGGAAGTTTTATGTGCGTAATGCATCCTGAGTTTAAATGGTTTTCTGTCACCTTTCTGTGTGCGCGTGTGCATTTGTATGTGTGTACAAAAACAAAAACGTCCTTGTGAAAACTCAGCAGCATGAATGGAGACACGTCAGAGGAAGTAGGGGGTCTTTCAACATGCCCCCGGGGTAGATTGGCATTCACTTTGTAAGAATATGGCCAGAGTGCCTCAAAACGAGTTGAGCAATAGGAGTTGAATACATCCAGGCCATCCTGAGTGCCCACACACATTCAAGTGGACATCTGCATCTATTTGAAATCAGATAACTCAGGAAGCATCGTAGCACAAGAGCTCTGCTTCTTTTTTTTCCTTTTTGTCCCTCTAACTCGCACTGTATATTCCTGGAAGGTCATAAATCTGAGTGTGTTTGTGCAGAAATACTCCCAGGATATCCCCTTAGTTTGTGCAGCTCAGCTCAGATCAAAACCGCAGGAAATAAGCACAGCTGCTCTTCATTCAAACTGGAAGTGTGCGACTGCGTGTGCGGCTGCGTGTGTTGGCGCGCTCGCGGGTGTGTGCCTGCGAGGAGTCAGTGTTATAGAGCCATGACTTCAATCAGGATTCTGTTATTTTAAAACAAGTTTATTAGAAATTAGACCTCTTAAACTATTTACCATGTTGTATAAGCAATTACTACCTTTAGTGAGAATATTAAAGAAGTAGCATTCCTGCCTGTAAAAACCACTCCCATTACTGTATTTCATGTAGAATGAGTATACTCTTCTCTTAACTTTGACTAGCTGGGGACTGATTAAATTAAGTTAAATTCATTTAATTTCTCTTTGGGATCAGTAAAGTATTTTTGAATTTGAATGACCTATATCACCTTATTCATGTTCCACAGTCACAATAAATGTTATGTTAAGGCACTTTATGGAATAAATAGACTGAGTTTACATACAGAAATATATAATCAATTCGATACAGTTAGACATATTTAACGTCAATTCAATTATGTTGTACATGTTTAATATTTTTACTCGAGGTTCTAAAAGAATCTCATGTCCAATCGATGCCAAACTCCGAGGTTTTCTAAAAGTGCAAACACTTCCTAATCCAGCACTGGACTGGAGTCTGAATTAGACTCAAGAAAGAAAATAAAAAATAGACACGTTTAGCTTCTTGTTATCTGCTGATGTCTAACTTTCAGTTTTTGAAGATTCTTTCACTTTTGGTACTTCTTCCTTTTTTTGTAATTTGAATTCCTGATAAATGCTAAATTCAGTAACCGCCACACTGACATGCTGCTGTTGTCAGCACATCCTGGTCGAACTGTGTCTACTGATCAGAAAGGCCAAGAATGAGCACAAAGTAATCACACTCCAGTCATCACTGGATTTCTTTGCGCATCTCTATTAATATACTCCTGAATGTATCTGTGCGTGTTTTCAGAATAGCTTCCACGTTGTCTGGAGAGTTGGACCACACTGGCTGCTTCTTGTGACTTGGCAGTTCTCTGCTAGACATATTTTAATTCTCCCTAATGCCCATGAATTGCATTACATCTTCAAGAAGCAGTTCTTATCTAAATTGAAACCAGCCAAGAAGAAGAGACTGGCATCAGCATTTTCCCAAAGATTTAAAGCTGCATTAACAAACCAGTGACTGGAAGCTAAACACAAGCAATAAAGGTTTGCCAAATGAGCCATCCAGCCACTAAGGCCTCCAAAAGAGAGAGAAAATTGCTCTGAGACAGAAGACAGGAAGTGAAGGCTTTTATCCTAAATTGTTCGGCAAATGCACTAAATGAAAGCTCATCATGTCCCTCTGGGAAACGAGGCCCCCGATCACAGGAAGCTCGCCAATTTAACACTATTTAATTTGGGCTGCTATCAGAGCTGTCTATCTTTGCCAATAGAAACCCCTCTATTGTACCGCTCTTCATATCAATCATCCTTAAAGAGTCCTTCATTTTTTACTGGTTTGTCATATTCTCTTTTCAGTGTTCCGCCTTCCTACTTCCTATCTGATTCACTTCTGTCTGGCCCTACTTCTCGCTTGTCTTTATTAGGTTTCGCTTTTCTCTCTTTGCTAAGTGATCTCATCAGGTCAGCTGGCAAGGAAAAAGCTTTGTAAAGCTTTTTCTGCTTTTTTGTAAAGGCAGAAAAATTGGAAAACGGCTTTCCTCATGGGGAGGCAGCTGACGTAAACCCTGCAACAAGAATGTTAATACAAATGACAAAAATAGCCTCTCTGTCTGAAAGTGCCTCAGTGTTGCTTGTTGTTGCTTTTTGCCCAAAAACAGCAGAGCGGCTGAACAACATCTTGTGTGTTCTCATTAGATTTGCATGTTTGAAAACAATATGTCACAGTATGACAGAATTTCTTCATGAAGGATTAGTTATGGCTTTAAAAAAAAACCCTGCATCGTTACTCTCTTTAAATTAAGAAAGGCACAAAATAGAATGGTGCTGTTGCTCAATTTTTTCTTCGTTGTGATAATTTTTTTGTCAATAAATTATACATACAGGAAGCCTGTGTATTGCTCATTTAATGGTGTCATATCTGAAAGGAAATACTTGTGTGGTTAGAGCAGCAGAGTTAAATATATGACTTACAAAACAAAACAAAAAAAGAACTTGCCAAATCCTGTCTGGTGAATTCCAAGCAACTTTTGTTGTAATCTGCCCTACAAAAATAAACCTTGTCATTAATCTCAATGTAGCGAGGTGTTGACAAGTCTTTGTGATCACTAGTGAAAATCAATTTGGTTCTAACACAACCAAACTGACTGAAAGCACAAATGCTTTTTTGAGGAGTTGGATGTGTCACATTAGTGTGTGACTAAATGCATTTTAAATGTTTAAAATCTTTTTTTCTCTAGGTTTAACAAGACTTCAGCTTTCTGAGATCTCTGTTTTATCCCATTTCATCCTAAGCTATGTAAAATTACTGTTTTAGTCAAATGATTAATATTTTAAAGAAAATTGCCTTTTTTGTTGTTGAAAATAAGACAAAGAACTGATATAAGAACTTTTTATGTTCCTTTAATTCGTGCATTAACATTACTATCGCATCTTATGCATGTTTGGTCATAAGTTTCTCTCTTATCCATTAGGTATCAGTCGTACAGAGAGGGACAAAGGGACTCTATATGAGCTGACCTTCAGAGGGGAAGCGAGTCACGAATTCAGACGTCTGGTCCTCTTCCGACCCTTCGGACCGCTGATGAAGGTCAAAAACGAAAGGATGGACACAACCAATATCATGATTAACATCATCGTCCCGCTCTCGAGACGAGCCGATAAGTTCAAACAGTTCATGCACAACTTCAGGTATGCAGACATTTTTTTTTTACATTGAATTCTTGCCATTGCAGCTGTATATAGCAGCCACTGAAACACCGAGAATTATTCATGAGTTCTCTCACGTACTGTGATAAGGAAAATGTGATAAAGTACACAAACTGTGACACTCACTAAAGAATCAACAGCCATTTTCTGCTTGTTGAAGAAATGTCTTTTGAAATTTCAAATTTAAACCTTGTGAAGCTGTTGCAGTAAAAAAAAAAAAAAAATCTGTTATATTTTTGTTAAAATCTAACAAGTTTTCACTCACAAAAAACTTTGGAAGAGGAAACTTTGTATGTTCGTAGACTTAAAAAGATACATGTGACTTACATCCCAAAATGCTTCAAATCTAATCTTAGACAGATCTTGGGTTGTATGCATATGACAAAATTCTGACAAGTGTTTGATGAAACGTACAGGCAGTAAGCAACAGTGAACAAATAAGCTAACAGTAAAACATGCTTGCTTTTGCTCTGCAGTCTGCTACAGTAGGTTGAGGAAACATCGTCCTTAATGCCTGTGATTTATTGTGCTGCCGCTGCTACTTATCGTGCCACTTTTTACATGGTAAATCCTGCTTAGTTGAATCGTTGCAACCCATTAAGATGCCCCCCTGGGCAGACCCGCAGTGGTTGATATACAGCATGGCAAAAATGCACTTACTTAAAAGATGTGAAGTTGCTGAGCAAACACGTTCTGCTCATAAAAGTGCAGCGAGGAAAGCAGCGTGTGTCACAGCATGTGTGAATGTTTGGTAATAGCTTTTTTTTTTTTTTAATCAAAAGGGTATTTATTCACAGACAGGGACAAAATGGTTCTCTTAGACTAAAGGTTAGAAAAACATTTCGGATATAAAACTATAATATTATACACAGCCATTGTTCACTCTTCACTTCATACATTTTTTAGCTGCGCTTGTAAGTACAAAGGTGCATTAATATTTAATATAATTGTTGGAATATAATTATTGTATCCCTGTCAATAAATAATGTACCATCAGAGGCCTGCAAAAATAGATATAATATTCATATGAAACAGGAGGAGCTGTCAAACACCAGCTTATTTATTAGCGATGCATCATCGCTGCCTTATTTAGGATGGATTTTTGTTTACTCTGGAATTTCTTTTATCTGAGCTTTAAAAAAAATCATCCGAATCCAGCCACCAGATGATTTCTCATTGTGTCTCTGATCCCATGGCTTTCATGTATTTAGATAAATTTTTATTTAGTTTCTGTATAGGAAGCAGAATCCCTTATGCTACACCAGAAAAACACCCGCCATGTTAAGCAACCACTTGTCTCTTATCATGACTATATGATTGATTGTTGAAATGTTACTACAGAAACCATTTAATCTTAAAATAAAAGCTCTGCTTTGAAGACACAACAACTGATTATAAACACAAATTTATTACGTTTTCTTGCAATACTTCAACGTCACTTTCTTGCTTCCAGCATAAACCGGTCCGTCTGGTCTTATGTTGCTTCCTTTTCTGAATTTCATTTGTTGGCAGATTACCTTAAAGGTGTATTATTGCTGCCAAATGTGTGTCAATCTGTATATTGATCTGTATCTCAAAACACTTCTTATTTAGCAACATCTCCTTGTGTGGCAAGAAGACTTTGCTCCAAAAAGAGAAAGCCGTACTCTGTCATCAAGCTCCATTCCTTTATGAATTTGATGGACCTTGAGTTTACACAAACTGCACAATTTCACAATGCTGTCCAACTTGCATTAACTATTAAATTTATTTGGAATCTCCTCAAATTTCTCAGCTAATCACCTATGTGCATACAGTTGCATTTATCTTCACAATGCATATAGTTACATTTTTATACAGACAAGCTTTTTGCTGCTGCCTCATGCAAGTTTACATGTAGATCAGCTTCCAAGCTGCTGCTCTAAGCAAAAAGACTTGCATTCAACTCCTACGTTAGTAGAATCGGCTGCTTTAATCTTGGGAGTGCCACTGTAGATTTATTCTTGGAGTAATACAATACACTGGATATTTCTTCCCCACTTCCAGCAGCAGGAATGACTAGCCTAAAAAATATATATATATGTATATATATGAATATATGAAAAAAGATTTCTTAATATGTCTGAGAAGATGTTAAATGCTGCATCAAAAGTGCTCAGATGGCAGAGCCATTCCCTCTGTGTGTAGAGCATCAACTGTGGTTGAGCTGGAATAATGGCTGCCTGAGCATCATTCATCATGTTAAACAGGAGCATGAGGGGCTGGTTTGCATCTCTGTGCACAGATTAAATGTAAAAGTGCAAAACCCTTACATAATAGATACATGAATGGGTCGTTGAATGTATGTGAGCGTCTTGGTCACGCTTTGACACGTTTTGTGGTAATGGTGATCTCGTCTGGCTTGGTCCATTTATTATTTTATTGTTTCCTTTGAGTCTGCATTGCTCATACATACTAAATCAGTATGTGGCATTATCCATTTTTATTTGATCTCTTCCTACAAATTTCTCTTAAGTTAGGCATGAGATTCTCATGGTATGATAAACTTTGGTAAAACCACCTTTTGGATTTTACTCAAATATAAAAAATTAATTTCAAAAACTTGATCTAATAACTGCAAAGTGAACACAAAAAAAATCTACAATAATTCTTAATGTTGCTGAAACAGTATATTGGTTGCACAGAATGAAAGAGATGCATTCAAAAGTAATTAAGTTTATTAAGCAGATTGTTTTGGTTTTTTGCTTTTCTCAGTCTGGGTTTTTTTTCTGTTTTTTTTTGTGAGTAAGCAGCTGAACTGTGTGCCTTATTTGAGAAGGGAAAGGTGTAGCAGCCAGCTGACTGACAGTGTGCGGCAGCAGGTGAAAGAGAGGCAGAGCTACGTGTTACTTTAACTATGTGCAGCCTGAGAATATTCTGGTGTCTGGCGAGAATCTTTCTTTCCCTCATAATAATACTTTATCTTCTTAAAACCCTTTAACTGCCCACTCAACCATATGGTTAAAGCGATATGCATAGATTTTTAAAAGTAGAGTCTCATCCCACTACTGAAGCTCTTATTCCACTTCTTTTGTTCTGGCAGTAATGAAACTTTGAAGCCTCCTGAATATGTCACCTTGATTTTCCTTCTTCCTGTCAACCCCCTCAAGTCTCTGCTCAGTTTACATAAAGCTTTCATCCCTAATGTCCCATCCTTTGTGTACAGGGAAGTCTGTGTGCGTCAGGACGGCCGAGTACATCTGACCGTGGTGTATTTTGGGAAAGAGCAGATGAGTGAAGTCCGGAGCACTCTGGAGAACAGATCTAGGTAAGTCTGATCTGTTCAGCACAAAACAAACAGAGTAAATCCTGAACAGACATGTTTTATTTTATTTTATTTTATTTTTTGGTCACTTCTTTACATGTAACCAGAATAATCCCCTCCATAATCAGTCTTCCTGTCTTGACACAAAATGCAAAACACACACACTCCTCCTGGCTCTTCGTCCTGCCAGAGCCACTCGTGTATCTAATGAATAATGGAGCAGCGTGCCACCCGCACAGAAAAGCTGAAAAGCTTCCAGCCAACACTGATAATTTACAACATGCCTGCAATCGTCCCTCACTCACTCAACCCGTTTTGCACAGATTTCTGCACAGACACATGCACACACGCACAAGCATGCACAATCACCACCTAAGGAGACAGTAGCTGTCGGCTGATCGGGAGTCAGGTCCACTGTGAGTTGAAGTGACTGATTCCCTGAGGGGTTTCTATGGAGATGCGGGCACAAAGGTTTGCGTGTGGCCTTGAAGCAGTCGGACCATCTCCAGTGTTGCACAACATCTCATTGTCTCGCTGTCAGTGATTTCTAAAATAGGCAGAGTTAAACTTTTAATAATGAGTGGGAAAAAAAACAAACAAACTTGTAAAACTGGGGAAAAAAGGTTGAAAGGAAGATCTGAAAGATGGTTTTGGATGAAATGGGATCCCAAAGAGATAAATCTCTTTGGGGAAAAAAAATGCATCAGGGTGTGATCCATCACATTTTGAAATGAAAAAGCAGCATTAATTAGTGATTTTTTTAATTATTATTTGTAATTCTTATAGTATCTGTAGCAAAACAACAAAACTTACAATCTGAATTAAAACATTTTTTAGTGGTTTGAAAGAGTTACTGTTAATTCCACACGTCACAAGTATTACCAACATATTTATTTTATTTTATTTTACACATCACCCTCTATTCCTTCCCTGGAGTCTGAAGTTGATTTTTGTTAATTAGCTGTTTAATCTTTCTCACCCTGGTAGCAAGTCTACAACTGTTTATTACCAACATATTTTGTTTTTGTTTTTATTTGGAAATAGTTACTTTAAAAGCAATTTGGATGGTGTTTCTGATAATGAAGTCAGGACAGCATAAATATATTCCTACTTTAGAGTTTTCCAGAAGCTGGGTTATTCTTTTTAATGAGAGGAAAAAGTAAACGGGATTCCCTGCCTTTGGCGAAAGGCTGCTGTATTTAAAATCTATTTTAAAAGAAGCAATTTGAAACTCATAACATTTGCGTTTCTGCATTTTACCATCACACAGACTTTTATTGAACTTTTGACATGGATAAATAAAACCATAGATGAACACATTTTATTTCCCAAGCATATTTTTTTCCTGCAGCGATCTCGGCATCATTAGAGACAGAGATCTGTTTCTGCAGATCACTTAACCGATTCAGCTCCACTAACTGGCTTAGTTTGTTTCTTCTCTCAAATAGCCTCCAGCAAGTTGGTCTTTTATTTTTTCCCCCGCTCCTCCTGCAAGATCGCATCGCAGTCACACACTTTGCTTTCAATTAACACAGTTTATGTCCTCACTGTATATTATTTAGACACATCGAAAACATTTTTTGGTAAACCTGTAAGAAGGTCGGTTCTCACTTTTTAACCTTTTTCTGCCAGACACTTGGGATGCTTGTTAAAAATAGTCTGAATCAGAAGCTGTACTTTCAAATATAAGGCTGCGAAATTCACACTTCAAAGCCTCAAACCCATTCACAAGGGGCGTCCTGTGAGTTTATGAGCACATGTGGCTCGGAATAGAGATATAAAACGAGGCGAAACAAAGAGGAATAGAAGGTAGGGTTTGAGAGGGAGGGAGTCGGCATGTGAAGAAGAGAGAAACACGAGTCGTCTGATCTAACTGGATACCAGTCAGTCAATACACATAAATTATGACTGTGTTGTGGACACAGAGAGGAGCTGATGGCTGCAGGGGGAAAACTGAAAGAAACTCAGAGAAGATAAGATCAGCAGCAATGCTAACATGGGGCAAAAAAAAAAAAAAAAACATTAATTCCCAAGGATAAAAAAAAAAGATAAAAACAAGGATTATGCAGAAAACCGGAAAAAGATAAAAGAAAACAATTGCATGACATGGTGAATCATTTCATTTAAAAAATTTCCATGATTTCTTTCTCCTTTTAATGACTTTCACGTTATCATTTGTGGCATTTCAGTCACTTCTTGGATACCTCAAGTAAATCCTGTGAAACCCCTTAGGACAAGTTAACTGGACAAGTACAGGGAGCTTATCAACGGCTTTAAAGGCACACAAATCGGAGCTGCACAGTTTTCATGTTCTTTTGCAGATCTTTCAGAAATGCACTGTACAAATTACTCGGTGTCATTAATTTGTGAAACCGTTTTGCCCCAGGCCTCTGCCAGCTTGCGTTCACCCTTCCATCACACGTGTGGACTTCTGATTATCTAGCTCACTGAAATACCAGGTATTTTTGTCTTTGACGCAACTGTTTAGAGAAATATCATCAACCTTCATTCTACATACAAAGCAGACGGGTATATCAACAACAGCATGAGCCACTTTGTTTCCAGGGTTGTGCTGGGTGGCACTCGTAAAGAATTATTCAAAATAAAAAAATGTTGCGAGTGTAAAATTCATCCTTCAGTTAGCTCACAACAAAAATATTATAAAAATGATAATGCTATGCATTTTCATGGTTTCCTGTTTTGACCTTGCTGACTAACAGACAAATATTCACAACTGAGAATGATTGAAATATTTTGGGCACATGCCGCTGAGCTTCTGGCTCCGGGACGGAGCCCGGGTCTCCCCAGTCTGGTCAAGGTTCACCTAAAAGTGCGATCAGCTATTTATTTAATTGTTTAACTTTATCTTTAGCTGCTGTCATAATAGACTTTTTTGTATGGACACACAAGCCCCTTTTCACACTTTCTATCAGTGTAACTTGCTAACTTTCGAATTTACACAAGTAAACACAAAATGCAGTTTTTAAATAAAGTTGTTTCTTAAGGGAGAAAAAAAAATCCAAACCTGTGTAAAAATGTTATTGCCGCCTAAATAGAGTGAATGGTTGAGCCAACCTCAGCAGTGGCAATTGCAATGAAGCATTTGCAATTACTCGCAATAAGTCTTTTCCAGCTGTGGAGGAATTCTGGTCCCCTCATAAGAGCAGAATTGTTGTAATTCAGCTACAAAGAGGTTTTTCAATCATCAACAGCCTTTTTAAAGTCATGTCACATAATCACATCAGGTCCTGAAGCAGCAAAATAACCCAGACCATAACGCAAACTCCATGTGATGCTTTTTTTCCATAAAGCTTTGTTCCTTTCACACCAGATATAACAGGACACACACCTTCTAAGAAGTTTAGCTTTTGTCTAAACTTGTTCTGCCCAGTCTCTCTTTATTTTTATTTTTATGATAGACGCATAACCTCTGACCTTAACTGAGGCAAGTGAATCCTGCATTTCTTTGACTCTTGTTCTAGGGTCCTTTGTGGCCAGTCTGAACATCCCATAAAGCATTGTTCACTTCACTGATTGTCTCACTGAATGAATAAGCGGAGCAGTATGGTTCAGTTCTTCATTTTGACTACAAGCCAAGCCATTTAATATGATGCTACAGTATTGATTGTAGACAGTTGATGTATGAAAAGAAATGAGGACAATGCATTCAATAGCTATTGAATGTTTTTTTCTTTTTTTTTCAAACTCAAGCAAAATGATGGCACTGGGATTCCCATTTAAAAACCAATACCACTATCATTACTTTTACAGGAAGCAGGCTCAGTTGGTCTCCAACCACAAGTGACAGGAGTAAACAGAAGCCACAGATTGGGAGCTTACACCGAAGTCTGTTTCATCAACAGGCGTCATGCTTGGAGTCAGTATCCTCCACACTGTCCTTACCGAGTGTAGCTAACAGGATAAGACCTACAGCTGAGACATTTTGGGGGAGTTTCTTTTCCACAGACTTCTTACTGACACAGTTTCAGCTGAAGCAGGGTGCAGACCATCTTATCTGCAGTAGTGAAAAGGCATGTGTTGGGACAAGCAGAGTTGTGTGGTGATGTGTGTGGGTTACAAAAGATCAACATAATAAAAGCAACTATGAAAACATGGATTTAAGTCGGGTTACACTGGCTACGCCCCCTTTGTAAGTAACTTTTTGCATTAAGTTTGGGTGACCTGCAAATTCAATCAGTGATTTCAGTTCCTTCAAAAAATAAACCTGGCTTTCAACGCCTCCTACTGCAAATAACCAGGAATTTATCAGTATCATTCAACAAGTGATGGATTATCCTTGACTGTGTTTGAACTGTAAATATGCACTAGAAATCCGAAGTCCGCCCACTTGCATCTTTTTAAAGCTCTTTGTTTTATTCAATGTTTTCTTGAATTGTTTGCAAACTGGACTATGGTGACAGCCTAAGTAATTATGAAACGGGTGCATTTTTGCAGGCTTTAGATTTAATATCTCTCTCTGTCTCTCCTCCCTCTTGCTTTGTATCTGTTTATAGGCTTTCAATAGGTGAAAGGCCACAGGACAAAGCAGTAAATCAGAACAAAAATAATGTTTCAGGAGTGACACTTTCTTTTCAACGTCTAGACAAAACACAGGAAAGAGACAGTGGTTTGAGCTGAATGCAGCTTCCTATTGTCCTCAGTCTTGTCTTGCTCACCCACAGACTAATTGTTCAATCTGTAAAATACTCCAAGCACAGAGAAAAAGAACAACTTAAGTATGAGCTATTAAAAAACTAGGTCAAAGTTTATTTTCCTGAATGACACCTTAGTGATATCCATCTTTTTGCAGCAAATACACAAACGTCAATGTATTTTACTGGAATTTTATTTCATCAACCTACACAAGGTAGTTCCTGTTGGGAACATTATAATATCTATGAGCTTTATATACTACATGTTTCATTTTACTAATACACCCAAGTCCACCTTTGTGCTATTTAATATCAGTAGAAATCCAACTCTTCTGTGAAGGTTTCAAAAGTTTGTTAGAGAAGATGTGATTGAACAACTTCATGAAAACCAAGGTCAGGTTTTCAGAAAGGTCAGGGATAAAGTTGTGGAAAATGTAAAAGCAGAGCTAGGTTATAAAATAATTTGCTACGCTTTGAACATCTCATGAGGCACTTTTCAATTCTTGACCTGAAAATGGAAATACCATGGAAAAATTCCAGACCTATAGCGATGTGGTTCACCACTTTAACTGTAAGGCAAAGTAAAATTAATCAGGAAAAGAGGCCAAGCTGCACATTATGCCTCTCGAGTAACTGCACAGAGTTGCAGTTCGTCCAACGTTTAGGGGATGCTTTTCTTAACCAGGACCTGGAAAGCTGGTCAGTGTTGGTGATTATGAGAGAAAATTTGTTAGAGACTGCAGAAGACTTGAAGCCGTGGTGGAGGTTCACCACAAGGTAGGAGGACAACTTTAAAGATTCAGTCAGTCATAATGGAATGGGTTAGATCAAAGGTTTTCATGTCTTATAAAGCCCCAGTTACAGTCAGGATTACTCTAGTTTAGAATTTGATAAGAGTTTAAAATGCACCATGTAGCAAATCCCTTCCACTTCACAGTTTGTGTATTTGTTCTCCCACATAATTGGAATAAAATATATTAAAGTCCATGGTTGCAATGTGGCTGAACGTCAAAAACGTCAGAGTTTGAATACTATTCCAAGGCACCATAATGCTGACAAAATCCTTGCAGGTGCTTTTCTTAACAGTTTACAGACTGAGTTGATCTCTCCTTCACTTCCTGTCACATTTAAAGCTGAGACTGAGTCAACACATGAAAGCAGCTGGAGTTGTGTTAAAGTCGTTTAAAACAAGCCGAGTCATTGTTCTGCAGTTTGCCATCTGTGGACAGTTTGGTGCCAGCTGCACATGGTCCTGCTCTCCTGGGACTCCATGCAGACACTCAGTCTGTTTGGATTCATGTTGTGCTGGCAGATATGGACTCTGTTATCCGTGCTTCAGCCGACTGCACCTCACAAGCACACACAGACATGTAGTTACATGCGGACATCATGCATCTTGAAGATTGAAGTCATCAGAAATATTTGGAATGTGAAGACGGTTGTTCACAAAGTTAAATAGGCGGTAAGGTGCATCATGTTGCTGGTATTTTTTAGATTTAGAGACGTGGGATCAAAAGGTTTTGCTGTCATACTTATGGGAGAGGCGGAAAAGTTTGGAATGTGTCATAGGTGTTCACGCATTAGTGCAAGAGGAAAATATTATGCTAATGGACTTAAAAACCTGTAGAAAGCAGAGGGATGACACTCTGAGTGATTCAAGCAACGCAAAGGGAAAAACTCTTTCCCTTCGTTACAGTGAATTCCTCTAAAGAAATTTTTGTAGCTGCTTTTTCCATCTGTTTTATTATCTACTCGTATAAAAAATGATGTTCCCATCTGTTTGTTCTGCTTTAAACTTGGACACGTGAGCCACTTTTTCCTCAGGCTCGCCACCATGTGAAAAAGACGTCGGGATGTGTGTGTGATCTGCTGCGTGTCTGCGTGGGCACACGTTGGCGTAAAGGATTAGTGACTAACAGTGTGAATTGTTATGATCAAAGAAAAAAGCCACAGCTGTGTGCATCTGGATCCAGCTGTTTCTCCTTACTCGCGCCACAGCAACGCAAACCCACTGAGACAGACGGGCTCGTTTTCCTGCGGCCCGAATTAGTGACTCCCATTCGGTCATCTAGATCCAAATCAGCACTGAAATGAACTCTTTGAGTCCACTAAGTCTAGAAACTGTTTTCCATTTCAGGTCTTTTTTTTTTCTTTTTTTTTACAATTTAATTATATTGCTCATTAGTGATGCATGTAAACGCTGTTGCACTTGAAAAATATCTCCATGCTTCAGTGATGGGAGATAATGGCATTAATCAGCCACATACAGCAGAAAATCAAGACAGTCGGAGAAAATTTGCGGGAACAATTTTATCCATCTATCCATCCATTTTCTTCCGCTTTATCCGGGGTGGGGCCGCGGGGGCAGCATGCTTTTAAAATACTTGTAAACAGAATTAATAAATACTTTACTGCTATGAACAAAGACTGCTTTGTGTTCAGTTGCAGTTTCATCAAAAAGAGTTTCATCATATGACCAAATGTCTTCTTCTCTAATGACTCGCATGCTGTGTGTTGCGTTTGAAGGGAGACCAGCTTTAAGAACTACACACTGCTTCAGCTGGACGAGGAGTTTTCTCGGGGTCGGGGTCTAGACGTCGGGGCCCGAGCGTGGAAGGGAGGCAATGTGCTGCTTTTCTTCTGCGATGTGGACATCTACTTCACCGCCGACTTCCTCAACACCTGCAGACTCAACACGCAGCCAGGTGATGTGCTGCACAAACTCGACAACACAAAACAAGCTAAAGTCTCTTCTACACTGAAAAACATTACAGTTTTTACTTCTGACTAATTGTAGCTTTTGAGACGTACCTGGAATTCACACAATAATCAGAAGCAGTGTGTGTCTGATTTTACAAATTATGTTTATTTCTGGCATGAGGCTCCATTAAAATTAACCAAGTGGAGGAAAAAGTAAGGTGGTTCATTTTTAGATGGCTTTCTAACAGTAAAAAGTGGAGGTATGCATAAATAAAGCTGTTTTAATAAAACAACATCCTGACAAAACAAAACAATCCAAGTGACCCACAGTATCACAGATCACCTACCATACTTCACAGTGAGCATGGGATCCTTTTACACTTCTCAGCCCTTTTGTTTTCCAAAGTAAAAGTAAAAACGATTTGCCTAGAATTGACGACACATCTGAAAATTAACCAGATAGCAAATTCCCTTCGTCTTTTCTATCAATTTTTTTTCTCTTCAAGCTTTCATTTGTTACTTCCACACTTGAGAGGAATAGATCCTGGCTGCCTGTTGTGTGCAGCACCCTGACAAATCTGGTAATTAACTTTCCACTGGCATTTCTTGTCACTAGCGTGTCGTTTTCCATGATAAGTGCTGCTGTCGGCGAACAGATGAGGAGTTCAGAAATCCAGGAGGAGCCCAGAATAGAAGCACTTCACATTGTGCAGATATGGTTTTGGTGTAGGGAGTCCCTCTGGGCCCGAATAGACATTTTAAAGAGGGGACTGCAGATATCTGAGGAAACGGCTTTGACTTGGAAATGTGTAATTGAGGTTAAATCAAAGTTCACATTGGTAATAAATGAATTAAGGGTACATGGTGTGAAATGTGATCAATCACCACATTTGCTCTGTGCTTCAATCTGAAATCTCAGTGGTAGTTCCATCCAGCAAAATAATTATTGGGACTGATAAAACTCTGAGTGACTAAATGATTATTAGGGTCGCCAGCAAATGTCAGACGCTGCTTTGTCCCTGCAGGTAAAAAGGTGTTCTACCCCGTGTTATTCAGCCAGTACAACCCTGCCCTCATTTATGGAAGTCCAGAGCACATCCCACCTGTGGAGCAACAACTGGTAACACATTAATGATTCATACTTCCTCATTTTCTTGACTACTTGTGGAGATGGTTTGGAAATACTTATCCTCTTATGCAGCTCAGTCGCTGAATTCAACTGTGTGTGTTTCACAATATGTTTGCACCTCTCCTTCTAGGCAATCAAGAAAGACACAGGCTTTTGGAGGGATTTCGGTTTTGGTATGACTTGCCAATACAGGTCTGACTTTATTAACATAGGTAAGGATTAGACAAAAGAATTTCCATAGCAGTCACACCACTTCGCAACGGCTTCGGGAATCCATAATCAGTTCCTCCTGAGGGCTGATTGTCTGAGTAGAGGCGTGACACTGCACAGTCGAAACGACTTCATCAGATGCGGCAGTAATATCCTCGCTGTTGTCCTAATGGTGCTGCTGCTGAGCAGACATGAAAAACAGCAGAGCACTAATAGCTCAGGATTGCGATATGGAGCTTTGGTTTTATTATATTACCCTGAGTGGTAATTTAATAAAGCAACTACAGTGTAGCTCAGAATCTTCCTATCCACCTGTCTGTCATGAAAAAGTGAAACTCAAATATTACACTGATTCATTACGCACAGAGTGATAATTTAATTTCAATTATTACGGTTCACAGCTCATTAAAAATCAAAATCCAGTTTATTAAAAGAATGAAATATTGCATAGGACCAATTAGAAAGTATTTTTATAAAATAACTAACACCCTACTCAAGAGAAAAGCTACGTGCAGTATATTATATGCAAATGGGTAGTTGGGGCTCGTGCTTCTGGCATTTCTAGTTCTGCAGTGACGTAACAACCTAATTTACTCGTGACTAATGTCACACATAATTCTATGTGTTGAGGCTCTTTATGCACTTTCCCGAGCTTCAGTGTATTCCCTGATATTCTTCCTCAAATTCTTAAATTTGAAGGCTGTTTGGCCTCCTGTCTTGGCAAAAGACAATTTCCCTCTCACTAAAACAGTTTGAGATCTGTGAAAATACTTACTTTTAGCTACAGAAGACAAAATCCCACTCTTGCTCTGCAATAAAAATATAAGATGTATAACGAAAGACCCTCACCTTGACATTTTAATGAAACTTGTATTTAAATTCAGCCCCAAAAACTATAGAAGTTATGCAGATCATCGCTACAGAGCTGTTCCTTAAATTTGCTTTCTCTATTTTATTTATAAGGGTATCCAAACTTAAAACCATGATCATAAAGTCAGATCCTGAATTACAGGCATAGTAAAACGAGGAGTCATTGCTTATCATGACTCATTTATGCATCTATGTGATTTTTACGAGGTACTGAGATAATTTAATTGATCAAAATGATTGGAGTCCAGCCTCAGTGTAAAAGGAAAAAGAAGGTAATTCAACAAAATCCCTATTTCAAGTATTTTCTCAACAGAGATGAAGGTAAAATGGAAAGATTTGTACCTGAAAAAGTAGACATAATTTTTAGCGATGTTGTCTTGATCACCAACCTGAAAAGACTGTTCAGTTCAAATTGTTTTCTGCTCTTCAATAGCCTTTCTCATCATATAATGAGGGAGTTCCAATAATTTAGAAATGGATTTATAACCAGCAGATTCTTTATAAAGTTACTACAGATTTTTTTTCCATCCTGTGTTAACACATAACTTTTTTACAGAGGTGGCTACATTTCTTGATCAATTATTCATTTGCGTTTTGTTAGCAGCTGGTATCTATTTTCCCTCCTGAATCTTCTGGAAGCAGCAAAGCTGTACTTGGCTTTTCGAACATGGCGTTTTCATTTTCTGCTTACTGTTTGGTGATAAATGAGGACAATCTGGAACTTACTGTTGGTTTTGGAAGTTTTTGGTATATCAGTGTAATATTTTCAGAAAATAATAAAGAACAGGTGTTGTTTATCCAGACTTGTAAAAGAAGCACAGCGCTTTCTTTTTTCAATGGTCTTTAAATAAGACCATTGTAACAGTTGCATGTTGTGAAAACAGCGCGCATTTTTAACATTTAAAATAAAAAAGAAAGATTGAGGCAGATATAACAATCAAAGTAAAACAGAAGGGAGTCGTGAACCTTACAGGAAGCAGCCTTCATCGTCCTGACAAATCTCTCAATGAAAAACTGCAACCTCTTTTCCAATATCTTTTTCTTTTTAGAAAGTGAATATGACACCATAACTGTGAGCCATGCTGCAACATGTTTAGCATTACACACTGACAAATCTTCTGATGACCATGTCTGTTCTGCCAGGAGGTTTTGACATTGACATCAAAGGCTGGGGCGGCGAAGACGTCCACCTCTACAGAAAGTACCTCCACAGCAACCTCCTGGTCGTCCGAGCGCCGTCACGCGGCCTCTTCCACCTGTGGCACGAGAAGCATTGCGCCGACGAGCTGCCGCCAGACCAGTACCGAATGTGCATGCAGTCCAAGGCCATGAACGAGGCCTCGCATGGCCAGCTGGGAATGCTCTTCTTCAGGCAGGAGATCGAAGCTCATCTCCGCAAGCAGAAACTGCAAAACCCAAAGAAGACGTGACTCTGGACTGAGAAAGGCTAGGCTCTGCGTCCAGAAGGTGAAATAGTATCTAAGATTTGTATAATTCTGAAAGAATTTTGATAAAGTTACCTGATTTGCTGTCCTTCTCAAGACCAAATACAAGACTCACGCTTTTATATCTGTACAGAAAATCCCAGGGAGCAGACATGTTGTGGACTAAAAACTTAGAGAAAGAGTTTGGTTGAAATATTGTATTTTGTATTTTCACTCCATATGTAAAATGTGGTTTAGGTACATCTTTACTTACTCCTATAAAAAAATGCTACCAGCTATTTGTATTATTATTTTTTTTAATTGTCCTTTGAATTCATGTTCAACAAGCAAAGTTGATTGAGCTCAACCATATGATGTAAATCACAGCTAAAAAGTAAAAGAAGTGTCAATCTTAAATAAAGAATTCAGATTTGATTCTATAAAAGTCTGGGTACATTTAATTAAAAGTGAGAAACATGCATTTATGGGTCCAGTGAGTGGTTTCAATGCACTCATCACAGGCTTCTAGCCTGATAATACAATGTGAAACTTCATATTTGTTCCAAATTTGAATTCATTGGGTATGTTATCTGATTCACACAGTCAAAATTAGACATACAGGCTCAAAAATAGACATGCACTTCTATAAATATTAGCAAAAGTGCCCATTTGCAAGTTTCAATTCAACCATACGCTTTTTTAAACAGGCTTTTGGCAACACTGAAATGGTGGAGATCATTTAAATAGCCTGGTTTTCTGGTTCAGCTTTTAATCATAGTTCAAGCCAGTTTTGATTGTTCAATACACTTATTATGTTTGAAAATCTAATATCACTGTGACCAAACAGATCATCTTTGTCTCTTTTTGAATTTTGTTTATCCACGTGGGCAGCCTCACATTTCTATCAAGCTTGAAAGTCTCTATTGTAGAGAAGTTTCTTTTTGTTCCAGCATCTGCCATTTTAAAACAGGCTTGAACCTTGGTTGAGTCTTGGACGCTATCAGATGTTCCAAGAGAACCGTGACCCAAAACGCACATCCAAGGCAAAAGTTTGGCTGGATAAAGCTGGCTACCAATAAGTCTCTAGAATTGCTGCAACCTCATTAAGACATTACCCAGAAAACTAACCAATTTAAACAATCATTTCTGATAAAGAGAGGGTACAAATACGTTCTCGTTTGTTACAAAAGCATATGGTTTTGCTACAGCTTACAAAAGCTCATTATCCAGATACCAGTGGAAGTGGAGTATGCCGGTATTTGAGTCTATATGCAAATGTTTGACAATTCAAAATGCATTTAAATATTCAGTTCCAATTCTGGTTTTTGGTCAGCATTGAAATTGTACACTTCATAGTTTCTCCATTCTGTAAAAAGAGCTGTTCAAATTCTTTGATGAAAAACTCAAAATGAATGTGACATTAATGTCCATAATTATACGTGAACTTCTGTACAGAATCATATAAATGTCTGTGTATATGAGAGCTATTTTATGTTGTTTTTTTATGCACCTGTGAGCCGTATTACATCTCAACTATGTGCCTTATGTAAATAACGTCAGATCCGTCTGTTTTTCATAATCAGTGAAAGTTTAACTTGCACTGAAGTTTTTTATATGTGTAAACAGAGCCACCCACTGGTTTGAAAATGAATAACACGCTGTTGAGCTATCAGTGAAGGACTCTTTTAAAGTCTGTCTTGTAAAGTTTTACATAAATTATTCTTTCAGTTGCCTTTGCTTATGTATTTATAATTATGTTCTGTAAATGTCTAGCCTTAGAATTTGTATTTTATTTTTGCCTGCTTAGAAAGTATTACATTCAGCTCAATCTAGCCTAATTGGGGCCCCTGTTTTAAGATGTGGAAATAAGGCTATAAATTGTTTTATTGCGGTAAAATTATATACTGAACGTTTGGGGGATATTCGAGCTTTAATTTGAGTATATGCATTTCTATCAACTTTTTTTTTGCAACAAAATTGTTATTGCTTCCCCTATTGGCGCCCCTACTACTTCGTATTCGCACAACCTCCTTTGTCACAATAGAAAAGCATTTCTCATATAACCAAACTCTTTGACCATTCTTCTTTACATAAGAGTCCTGGGTCCTGATGTCGTCTTCTCGGTGAAATGAGGAGAGATAAGATTAAGGTCTGTGGACTGAGATAGTCATAGAAAGTGATTAATGGCTGGAGCTTTTCCGTTGGTTGGTCTGTGTGATTTAGATCACTATCCTGGTCTACAATCTACTGTCAACCCAATTAATTTGTGTGGCAGAGGCCAACATCAACGCTTCGTCCCCTCCACCTCAGAGAAAACGTTCAACACACATGTGCCTGACTCAAATTCAATGTTCTCCTCTTGTTCCTATTTTGACAAAGGGATAGGAAAAATTAACGTGTCTGACGTCATCTATCCCAAGAAAACTGGAAATCAAAATTACTTTAAAAGTAAAATAAATGCTACATTTATTCTATGAACACTTTTTAGGCGTGACAATAGCAGCTCTAGTGCTATTGTGATGGTGCTGCGACTTATAATGCTATAAGTTAGATTTTTATTGTTGTTGTCATTATTATTGTTTTGAATTTCATCAGGTGTTTTTACCATCAGTACCAATAGGCATGGATTTGAGTGTTGACATTTTAAGATCAGTGCTGTGTAAATTAGTTTGTAAACCTTTTAAAGGGAAGTGTTAACATTTAGTGAATTTATGTTGACGACGACTTAACAAGTCAGAGCAATTTATTTTTAATATCAATTAGGAGGAGTTTTTTGTGCAATAGGGAAGTAAATTATGATTAATATTAGTAGTAAGCAACCATTTATTTATTTTGATGTATTTTCCTGAAAATCTTTTTTTAGAATACTTGTGCAGCACTGGATAAGGATCCAGAAACAAAATGACTGGCAATCATTTACTTTTTTCAACAATCATTAGATTATTTTGTCAGATTGGTTTTGTAACTTTGTGTAAATGAGTTGAATAAACATATTTATGCATTGTGAAGGCTTTTTTCATATGCAATACATTGTTGATCTGTATTTTTCCAAGGGCAAAAATGTTGGTCCTCTGCAAGAACATAAAATAAAACCTGACTGATTCTGATTCTTTTTGCAAAAACATTTTACCATGTATGTTTTTAGTGCAGGGCGTCTGCCTTACCAAACTTATTTGTTACTGATTTGTTAGAATAATTAAGCACCTTGGGTGCTTTTCGCCGAAACAAAAAAAACCTAGAAGGTCAGTCGCTTTTGTGAATGTCAGTCTGTCAGAAATAAAAAAAAATCATTTTAAAGGAGTTAAAAACCATACAAAAGTTCTTTATTTTGAAATCTGCCAATTTGTCTCATTGTTTCATAAAGGAATGTCCTGCTTCTTCCACGCACCACTTTTTACATATAAGAAACTTGTCATTTGTATTTTACTTTTAAGAAGATGTTCAATTTAATTTTGGTCTCTCAATTTAATGCTGAACCTTTACTTCCTAACCTGTAGATGGAGCCAACGAGCTAATGTTTGTGTTTGGTAGACAACTCCTCTTCCTGTTTAACATGCATTACTGTAATTTTTTTACATTTATTGGAATTAATCAGTCAAACTTTCCTTAAACTACTGCTCTAAACATTTCTTTGTAACCCTAAATTTTAGGGTCACTGTCTTGCGCAAAGGTGAACTCCCTTTGTACTTCACTCCACCCAGTTTCCTATTTTGTTTCTGCAGATTTTTATCAAGGTCAAGACAAATATCTTTTAAACATATTTTAACACATTACTTTGTGAACATGTTTCTACATTATACAACAGAACAAATAGACATTTCATTTTTGAATGCTTTTATTTGTTCATGCAAAATAAATTTGAAGAGTTGACTTTTAGCGTAGAATTTCTGTAAGTCACCCTGACATGCTGAATATCATCTTACTGGCCAAATCCTGAGCTATTGTTTTATTCATGCTTGGCTCACCAGGTGATATCCACTTCATTATCACATTTGCCTTGTACCACGTGTGCTATCATGCTGGAAAGTTTGCTGATAATTATTGGATTGTGTGTACGGTAGTTTTTTTTGAGGGGGGGATTTGCAACAACCTGCACCTGGGGAGTATTTTGGTCTTTTTATTCTTAACAAGATTTTTTTTTTTTGTTCGCATATGTAAAAAAGAACTCAAGCTTTGTATTCATAATGTTTTAATCATAACTGTCCTCTCTGTGAATAAACATCCAATCTTAACATCCCAGGAGATTAATCATAAACAGTCATTGCCTTTTTTTAATTCACTCATTTTGAAAGACAGTAGAGGACCGCTTTGATCTTTGCCCCACTTTGAAGTACGGTTAAACTCTGTGACCAATTTAATCAATCTATGCTTATCACACACTTCCTACAAGGAATCACAAGAATATGTGGCTTCCTGTTAGAGGTTCAAACAAGATGTAAACATAACAGCTTTTATCTGGGGGCTGGGAGAAAACCTCTAGTAGACGATGAAAAAGATTATGCATAAGTAAATGCATAAATAAAGGAGCATACATATGATGATGGAGCATGCAAGAAAGACAATGTAACAAGGAGAAATTATATTAAAAAAAACTAAACTAAACAAAAAAAAACTTTCATTTAGGTATCCCCAAATATGAAACATACAACCCCAAAACATGTTCTATAGCCTAAAAAGGCTCACGTCAGCGTATTTATTGTACTCATAAATTAGTTTTGGCAGACTTCTAGTGAGAAAATCAACAATATTATCTTGGTTTAACAGGCTGCAGCTCATATATAATTTAGCAAAGATGGTTGACATAAACTCATTTGATATAAGAACTTCTGATAATTTATATCTCCATGAATCACTGAATATTCTAATGAATAAAATCAAGATAAATAAATATTTTTTGGCATTTATTGCTAAAAATCTTATATTGCTAAAAGGGGCCATAGGAAATGCCTTGTTGCTGAAATGTGCTATACAAATAAAATTTGATTGAAATAAATAAATAGGAGCACACTGCCTCACTTACAATTGTGAAATGCAATTAAACAGTCTTGGCTTAGAACCATAATGAGGATTGGCCAAATGAGGTCGATTTAATGGTTGTGATACTTAAAGAAAGGCATTTAGCATTACTGTGTTTTTAATGTGCTTTTACCTGAAGCAGAATTATGCAAACATGAAGACGCAAATCAGGAAAAATGTTTTAACCATTTACCAGAACCCCAGTGTGAAAACTGTGGAGGTATATGCATTTTTCCCACTCTGCCGACGCTACATGAACGCAAACACGAATCCGCCTTATTTACGCACTCCTCTCCGGTACGTGAAGGCAGCACCATGGCCTGCTGCAGCCGGTGAGGTCTCCGCAGCTTTTCGGCATCGGCTTTCGGCTCATATTTCACTGGCTGCAGACGTCGTCAACGGGACAGGTGTCCGTCCAAATGACCGGGCCTTTCACGGGAGCGAGTTGTTTTATTTAAAAGCTCTCAGCAGCTGTGAAATCACAATGAAGCTCCGGCTCTGCTGTCGGCAGAGCCGCACTTCACCGCCACCCAGCAAGAAGAGCAATAACAACTGCAGCTAGTGTCCCGGGTGGCTTCCTACGTTTTTCATTATGATATTTTAAGAACCATTTGCTGCCGCGGGTTCCCTTTTTTTTTTCTTTTTCTTTTTTTATCTACTGACCGAGTGAAAAGCAACGACAGCCGGAGCGGTAGGAGTCACTGCGTCGCGAGGAGGAGCGTCCACCTCTGAGGGTTATTAAAGCGCAGCAGAGGCAGACAGGGACTCTGCGCCCAGACCGAGAGGAGGCAACATGTTTGAGCCCAAGGGAATCCTTTTTGTCCTGCTCGATTTAGTCTGCCTAATTCTAGGTATGTGTTTAAACATTTCATTCACTGCTGCGGGCTGTTTGCTGCCCTGTTAATGATCTAAGCTGATTTGTGTGTGTGTGTGTGGCTTTAATCCTTCCTTTGGGGCATTTTAACAGCTTCCTATTTGTGAAAGGAGCGGTGAATGTCCAGGACTGTGTTTATATATAAGCCACTTAACAAGTAACATTTTTATATCCTCTGCTATATATTTTTTTTAGTGTTGCAAAAGACCTTTGAGCTTGTTAGGTGCTTGTAAACTTGTAACAACTGCTCATGATTTTTTTGTTGGTTTTTTTCTGTCTGTATAATATTGAGTCGCAGTCTGGGCCTGTCCGAGGTTTTAGTCACATTTGCGCATAATTAGAGACACAGTCAGCTGCTGACCTGGGAAGAAAGAACTTGACTTTACACCACATGTCTACAAATGTGTAAATTGTACATGTGTTTAGGCATGCTTGAAATTTATGTGAATAGCTTAAGCCAGCTTCCATCATTATTTAGTTGCAATAGAAAGTGGCAGGGGGATGCAGTATTTTACCTGCTGGACACCCCCTGCCTGTTGCTGCACAAAGCCAGTCAGCTGGCTGAAAATGCTGCCTCCATGCAGTCTTTGTTCAGGCAGCACTGTTTAAAATATGCAGTTAGAAAGAGGGATGTTTGTAATCAGCTGAATAAATAGGCTGACGAGCCTAAAAACTGCTCCTGTGCTTTAACTGTATGTATGGAGAAAAAGGGAAGAAAACAAAACAGAAGTTTAATATTTTTGTGCTGGTTTTGAAAATGAGTGAAGTAATTAGCTTATGTCTAAACATTTTTGTAAATGTAATTATTGTACCTTTGGTGAAGTTGATCACACCAGCTCATGTTTATATTATAGTTATAATTATTGTTATTATTTTTATTTTAAAAGTCATTGTTTGCATTCTATAAATGTTTTTAGAAAAGTCAGTGAGTATTTGATTTTACGTTCTGGGTTCCTTTAATTCAACTCATTGCCTCGGGCTCACATAGGTAATGAGTGTCATGGCTAACAGGTAAAACAAAAACACATTCTTTGACTTTTTATCATGTAACATTGTCCATTTCCTTTGAGTCCGTAACATGTTGCTTGTTGGGCTTCACCTTCTAAAAATAACCTGAGTAGTTTATCTACTCAAATGTCGATTTTTTTCTTTCTACATTTTCTTAGAATAAATAACTCAAAACTGGGTCAGCTGCAGAAATACATTATTACCTGATCCAAAAATTTTTTGAATTCACTATTTACTTAAACAACAATATATATGCTGTTTTATAATTCTCACACTCCTATCCATAAAAATGAGCGTGTTTAATGAACTCTTACCTAACTTTAAGTTAATGATCAAAATAAAAATAAAAAAACACGGCAAATATAAAAGGAAACCCTGGAGTTCTGTAATTGGGCTTCACCCAAATTAATTTCTGATGAGGTTCTAGTTTGACCTCAGACCGGCCCTGATTACAATTATGCTTTTTAGTTGAATGTTTCCATGAACCGACTTTTGAACTCACATGGGAAACTTCTGAGCCTTCGCAGTGTACGGTCGTATGATTTAAAAGCGCTCACGTGAATTTCCTGACATTAAAAGAATGGGAAGCTCAGATGCTGTGATGAGTCATGTCTCTCTACCTTAGAGTGGAAAACATCTTCACTCACCAAGCCACAAGGTTCCTAGCTTTGGGTCTTGCATGAGCACCTATGCTAATTATAATGTAGAAGCAGCGTCACACGGATCAAGACAAAAATGCTGTGGGATTGTCAGTCAGGTTTTCTAGACTGAAGTGTTCATAGGACTGAACTGTTTCACTTATTCAGAGTTAGATATTCTCTCTCTATTATGTCTCCATCAGTGACTGATTTGCTGTATTACTTTTATCACATTGCTCTCTTTATCTTGATTTGAAACTGTTTAGTTGTTTTTTAAGGCAGACTTAAGCCTTATCCAAAAACTAAACATAGGAATAAGTTTCACAGAGTATCACAACCTTGTCTAAAAATACCACACTTTCATGGTATTTAAAAAAAAACCCCAATGGCCTAAATATTTTTTTTCTTTTGCTGCTGAAATAATATAACCCGTATTATAAAACTTTTTTTTATTTTTATTGATGTGTACTTATTGATACACAGACACATGATGAGTAAGAGGAAAAAGTGAGTGTGCTGCTAGTGACTGTCGGTGTGAGTCAGCTTTTTAATGAGCTCATAACAGTGATTAAAATATGTTATAAATCACTGTTTAAATTCTGCTTCACTCAGAGGCAATGGGCTCAGACTTAAACTTGGTGTCAATTAAAGCAGTGGGTGGTTTGAATCTTAATATCAACAAATGACTGCAGAGGTGAGAGGCTTTAGCAAAATCTAGAATAACCGCCTGGTGAATTTCCAAGAGCAGATTTTGCTGTTTACAGGGTGAGCTAACACTGGAAGTCTAATGTAGATATTTAATGGTTATCTTGTGGGGGTACTGTGGTAAATAAAAAAAAGGGGTAGAACCATGTAGCTCTAGTACAAACATATTGCTTTACTGAACTTTCAAAACAATGTTGCCCTAACATGAGATTGTTAGCTCATACTACAATGTCATCCAAATTGTGGCCTAAATCTTTTTTAATAGAAAACACAAAAAAAAAAAAAAATAGTTGAGAAAAGTGATTGCGGCTTTTAAGATGACTTGTTTGTACAGCCTAAATAATAAAAACTATTTAGGCTCTACAAACAGTATACAAACTGAATTTCAACTGAGGAAGTTATTAAAACCATGATCCAACCAGTCTCTCCCTAAAGGGCAATAAAGTTTAGACTTTCAAATTTGACCCACGGCTGATCTGCCACAAAGTTATTGATAATCCTTCCAGTAAAATGAGCACTGAGTGAGAGCCAAGCCAGCTGCATGAGCTGAACTGTGTCTGCTAATTGGATTCATCTTCCAAGGAGACGAGATTATTAAATTGTAACCAGGGTCTTTGGGAATTTGTCTTGAGATTGGGGCTGGAGTCTGCAGTCACATGCACTGCATGAGTATTTAATGAGCAAATTATATGAATGCAGAGGGACAAGACAAAGCTCTATATTTATTCTACCCCTGGTAGAGATGAGTAAAAAGCCTTGAAATGAATTTATCTTATAGTCTAATAGCATAATCGCACACAACTGATTTTTATTTAATCATATTATAAAACGAAATAAGCTTACCTTGGCGATGCAGATGATGCACAGCTCTAGATTACAATCTCACCACGTGACTATGAACCAATTCAAGCGTTGAGCAGATGTTAAAAACAAATCAATGTATGGATGTGCCATACCTTTCTCCAGCTGAATAAATAAGAGGAATGACATTCAAGA